TTATAATCCTCTAAATGGTAAATATTTCGAAATGAACAGTTGATGTCGATTACCCCACACATTTTTCCAGTTTGACTACTCAGACGTTGATAACTTCTGAACGGTGTTTTTTGCCACTACTTTCACCCGCGTGCTTTCACCATGACGAACCAGCTCATGATTTTGATTATCATCTGACATGAGAATGTTAGGTTTGATTACTGATTCACCAACAGATAAACGACATAAGTGCCTATTTAATATATTTCATTATTAAATATTATTCAGAATATTCTAGATATGACTGGTATATCAAAGTATTAAATTACGTTTAGTAGTTAATTTTCAACGGATCGTTTGAATTAGAGATGTAAGAAGGACCGTTTACCGGAACCGCAGCCGGCATCGGCAATATTAAGTTCGATTTATCGGAGTCGGCATAGGAGCCGAAGTCACAGTCGAGTGAAGACACGTCTTGGGTGCTGTTAGGGGTAAACTTAATAAAATAGAATTCCAACCAGGTAAAAAAAAAGGATTTTTTTAATATTTACACTTTACAAAAATTATGTGTAGATACTTGCAAGATGATAACTATAATAGGTTCTACTTAGATTATTGTAATCTAAGAGGTACTACATCTTTTTTATAACACATACATCTTAATCAAGTATCTCAAATCAATTAGGGATAACGGTTAAAAAATAATATAAATACGATTTAAATATGTGTTATTAAAACTAAGCAAACTAAACTAAGCCGACCTAAGCTAATTAAATTAAACTAACTAAGTACTTACTCAAGTTATTTAAAAGTAAGCTAGCGTCATAAAATTTCTTAAACTTATTCGCCTCTATTTCAATACAAAATTGTATCGCAATTCGTTGCAAGATGATCGTAGATCGATGGCGGCCGGTATCTACGCACTGGGCGACCTTCTCCCGACCGTTTCCTAACCGCATGAGCCTGCCGCGATACCGCTGCGATAACATGACCAATGTGCCGATATACCGACTTACACACACTACACATTCATATACATAGATATATTATATTTTCGGGTCCCTGTGTTTCCTAACAATGTGTTGCCACCGTGTCGGCGCTAATTGCGAAGTGGTTTATGATATAGTTTTCTGATGATATAGTTTTATTTTCCAAGTAAATAGTTTGATATTTTGTGATTTGGTTAATTAAGTCGTGTCTGCTGTACGCACTTTTTATCATACTTAATAATCTTGTTTTGCATTTACGAAAATCTATCCAATTATGTAGATTTTTGGTTTCTTGCTTGCTACTGATAATACCATTAATAGCTATCATCAGCAAAAGTATTTAAAATACGTCTGTATCTCTCAAAAGGAATAATTCCCCTTTTTTATAACATTTTTTATAAGGCTCCTCTTCTATTAGTCGTAGCATATAGCTTTTGTCGATAAATGGGCTATCCAACTCTAAAATAATTTTTCAATACAAACCTCCAGTTTTTGAAATTGGCGAGTTCAACAAAACAAACAAACTCTTCAGTTTCACAATAATATAGTATAGACATTTTTAAGAAAACAATGATTTTAGACATGCTTGTTAATAAATGTTTTCGGTATTTGTATTAGAAGTAGGGAATTACAATACCTGCTGATTCCAGTTCTTTCTCGACGTAATGAGTGTATCACTTAATGTTAAACTAAATAGCCAAATATAAATTAAAAAATACAAATTTAAAATATCATTCGTTACTTTATTGCAACTTCAATGCTAGACTGTCTAATGCTAAATCTAAATGCTAAATAACAATGTGACTATGCAAACGTGTATGTATAAACTAAATAAAAATGAATTATAATAAAATGAAAGTAAGTGGATGTAAGCCGGATGCGGTTACCTTAAGAAACATTTATCGGTAAAATTTAATTTATGTTTTTTCGGGAAATTATTAATAAACCGGTAAAATTGTATTAAAGGTCTTATGACGCTTGAGGAAGCTCCTGAGGTAGGTATGTAAACACAGAAGCAATTGACTCTCTGAATCTCTTGTGTCGCGGACAGAAGAGCTAAATGCTCCTATCTTTCCTAGATAACATTAAGTTTACTGCTGCACATAGGACTCTCCTGAGAAAGGTTTTGGAATACTATACCACGTTGGCCGGAGGGTTTGGTATAGGGTTTGTGTCAAGTGTTCCTTCTCTCTGCAGGGCTGTTAGTTAGAACAGTTAGTGTTGTGTTAATGCTGTTAGTTTTCCAACTTATTTCGTATGTCTATAGAAAGTCTAAATTAAACGAACAATAAAGTAAATTCTAGGGACCAGCCAGAAATTAATAAACTGAGTTCTATCCAAACTGTTTCGTATTCCCATTTTCTAAAGATTACTCTTTTCTACGACAACTGAACTTACTAACTACTAAACTGAGCTTTAAACCCATAAATATTGACCCACTTTTTGCAATTTTTAACCCTCCCTCCATATCCTATCCTTCTCTCCTATATTCCAAGACCCCTCCCTCCCCCTACAGTTTTCAAGTAGTAATTCATAAATATGGTTTTGAATCATTTCTTGCAAAATATTTGGCCTATATTTGTCTTTATTAAGTCTTTATTATTATAATATGGCGCTTGCTGTGATAAAATACAAGTGATAAAATTTTATCAAGATAAAACTTATGTCAAAATATATTGTAACCAGAACTTAATTTATAGAAACAAAGTCGTGTTATTTTATTAACATTTATTTTCCATCTTAATCATCTTCAACAAATATTTGATTTTATTTTATTGCTTGCCATATTTGAATGTGGCTCGAAAAAATGCGAGATTTCCCTAGCGGATATTGACTACGTGATGAAAACCTAAGCCCCCCGCCCCTCATGGTGACCAAGCTTGGTATTTTAAAGAACGAGTCCCTCTCCTAAACGAGTCACGTAGTATGGGTACGTTCCCTAACGCTCGAGCATGTACTCAACGATCTTGTTTTAGCAACCTGACACAGCTTTATACCTACCTAAGGTCGACAATATAAAAAACCAAAAAACTAACACGGATTTCATGGAACTCAGAAAAACCCAGAAATAAACATATGCTCAACATTTTGATCTGTTCAGAATGATTCACTTTTTTTTGGGAAACAACTGCGTAGGTAAATGAGTATCAAGTTCTCCCGAACTTGATACTCATACTTATTTACCTACGCATACATTACCTACGCACGCATTTCAGGTGCTTAAAAAGTGTAGTTGATGACCACCTGATCATGATGATAAAATTATGGCTACTGACATATTATTTATTCTGTGGAACTATACGACACTTGTACTGCTGATATAATAATAATAATGATAACTCCACACATCTCACACACGGCAGTCTGATCACAAAGTAAATATGTCAGCAGTAAATGTAGGTAATTAGTTCAAGTACATTTATCCGAAGTGGCAACTTGTCTCTGTAACGCTGACATAGTGTTATTCTCGACAAATTCCTTGTATAGCATTTTTAGAGTCACTTATTGATGTTTAGAATTGATACATCTGCATTATATAAACTTTTCCGATCATATTTCGTACTTATACCAATCATGTATGTTCTCATTATATATTAAGGAGTCAATTAGAGCCAAACAAAATTACTGACAATCCCATTAGCAATCGAATTTATTTATTGGATAAAAATCGCTATCGACATACACGCACACAAACAAAAATATATAAAATGTATATTGGACTGACGGAACAGTACCTCTCCCACGGCTCAAAACTATTTAGTTTTCAGCCGTGGGAGAGGTATTTACCGTCTGGTGAACCGACTGCTCGTTTGCCATAAAAATTGTTTTATTTTTTGTCACTTAATATACAGATATAAACATATAGTCAGGTTTTTCTCTTATAGTAAAAGCTATTAGTAATGTAGCGACAATGGTCTACTTTAGGCTTACTGAAACAATACTATGCAACTTATAGTTATGTTAATTTATATAAATTGAACTATTTGCAAAGGACAGATAATATAATTTGCATTAACATGTTAAGATAAAAATGAAGGTACACATGTATGACAAAATATCAATGATGTTGATGAACTAGATTAGGTATACGTATATATAAAAAATCCCATTATACGTGCATTCAAGTGCATAGTGTGTATTCAATTTAAGGAATTTGTGGCATTCAAAGATCAATAGCATATAATCGTATTACAGTTCTATCAATCACTTTCATTACAATTGATCATACTGATGGGTATGTAGGTACAAATATTAAATTATCTCGCTTCGGCTCTATTTATATATCTTCGGTTTATACTTACCCAAAATTTTAGAATGTTTATTTATATTATGTACACATTATATACGTATCGCTTCCTACTGGCAATCACTCTCAGTTGGCAATCTTGATTTTGTCGACCGCAATGCGGATGTGTGTGTTACATAGTAATTTTTTTTTTGAGTAAAATTATTGTCGTTATCCTTTTTTTATGCAATAGTAGTTGTAAGTGGCTATACTTTTACAGGACATTTTATACTCAGCATCATCATCATTTATTGTCCCATCAGAAACCTCTAGTCGAACAGACTAGTTAAAAGTAAAGAAAAAAACATTATAGCTCCTTTGTAAATACATACATTAATCAATTTACCGAAACTACGTATTAACCAAATCGTCGGGTGTGAAAGTTGAAAGGTTTTTAAATAAATTCAACAAAATGTTAAGAGGTATTCTTACTTCCGTGGTGGACAAAACATCTTCAATATGCCAAAGTACATAACTGTATATAAATACTTTAGGAAACTAAAGTCCTATGTCACTTGCGGTCATAGTAGATCCTATACTAATCTTCTCCTGTTAAATTATTGTCTCGGGTAACGTTTAAAACAATACCAAACCCATAATAAAGACCTCTGTTGCTTATCGATGTACGAGTATGAACAGTTTTATAAAGGTTCTATAAATGAATTTCTTTAACGACGTCGTACTATAGTTGATGTGATTCTTTAAAAAAGTTTTAACTTTACAACGTTTAGCACAGACAGACATGGATGTTAAACTGTCCATTCACTAAAGTAAATAACGGATATGAACTCAGACAACATGCAATAGATAAAACTAGACCGGTGTAAGCGTATCATAAACCAGATATGTTAAAAATCTGGCTTGCTTAATATTAGAAAGTATGATTTTTTTTAATATGTAGGCAACTCTAGTAGTCCAATACAGCGTGCCCTTGAATGACTTACGTAATGTTGTAAACATTTCTCAATGGAATGCAATTAATTGATTACTATACCGACTTAGCCATGGATATTTGAAAGATATCAAAATCATTGGATACACGGTGCAGAAACACGCGTAACCGAATGATGAAAAATATAAAATTGATTAATTTATAGATGACTTAAGAAAGTTCAAAATCTGTATGTTTTTACACATATCGATATTATTATATACAAAACCTAGGGATGTATTACACTAAAAATGTTGCCACTCCGTGCTTCTAATGAAAAGCCTATTGCGATTTTCAAGTTCGTGACTCCGTAGTTCTACTGGGAATGTTCTATCAGAAAATTTAGCGTTACCATGAAATCCATACTAGCATAAAGTATTCCATTAGATTAATGAAAATGCTCAATCGTGCTAAGAAATTTTGTATCGTTTACTTAACAGTAAAACCATAAAACGCCACTGTCTGACAGGGCCGCAAAGTTTAAACCTGCTAGTTTCGCTAATTAAATTCTTACAGTTACTGTTACACCTCCATATTGTATAGTTCTTAAAATGGTAAAATTTAAACATTTCACATTTTCTAGGCAATTAGCTGTTGCCTGTGACTTCGCTCGCGTAATTCTTTTTATTTCGTATTTCTACTTACTTTGAAAATGGCGAACTTCCATACAACTGTTCATATGTTATTTTACCCCTTAGGGGTGAAAATTTACAACATAAAAAGCATCAGCTGCCAACATTTCAAGTTTGTAGCCCCTGCGGCTTAGGATCTGCTTTGAAATGATGAAATGAAATGAAATAAATTTTCTGCAAGTAAATCTTTTCAGATATTTTTACAAGTCGTGTTGAATCTGTCAACCAGGGCAAGTAATTTTATATGTACCTATAGATCATACAAAATAATTAAAATTACTTACTACGATATGCCATATATATTATACGATATACTAAACTGCGCTAGTTATAGAGAATTGACAGTTTAAACCTCTCAGAGCTGAGTTTAAATATTAATTCAATACCTACAATGACCAAAGGGGTGTGAGGGGCGAACCACCATCTTTCGCCCCAAGCCAACCTCACCTGCCCGCGGTGCATCCTGCTGAACGACGAACGAGGCTCTGGCGACCGACCGATGGCGGTATATCCATCCCAATAGGCGTAGCTAAATACAACAGGCCGGTGACGGGCAGCAGCGTTACCGGTGCGACAAGCTACGCCCTGCGATCGCCAACCCGCCTGCCCAGCGTGGCGATTATGGGCAAACCCCTCCCATGCAGACGCAACAAAGGCCACGGCCCCCAGTTCCCGGCGGCCCCGCTATTCCTGGTCATGGTGGCGACCACGGTAAAGGCGGGGCAGGGGGTGCGAAGAATCTCCGGGCTACGGGAGGCCACCACAACCGACTGACCCTGGCTACGTACAACGGACGCACGCTACGGCTAGACTCGCATCTGGCGCAACTTGAGGTGGAACTTGGGAAGATTAGGTGGCATATCCTAGGGCTATGTGAAGTCCGAAGAGAGGGGGAGGACACCATAACCCTCGAGTCAGGCCACCTAATGTACTTCCGCGAGGGAGACCAACAATCCCAAGGTGGGGTTGGGTTTCTGGTAAATAAGTCCCTATCTGACAACGTTGTGGAAATTTCCAGTGTGTCGAACAGGGTAGCGTACCTCATTATCAAGCTCACCGAGAGGTATAGCCTCAAGGTTGTGCAAGTGTACGCACCGACCTCGGCACATTCGGACGACGAGGTGGAGGATATGTACGATGACATATCGAGGGCCCTCCACTTCACAACTAAGACCCACTACAACGTTGTTATGGGTGACTTCAACGCTAAAGTGGGAGTACAGAATTGCAGCGGATCGGTAGTAGGATCCCATGGATTTGGAAGCAGGAATCATAGGGGGCAAATGCTGGTCAACTTCCTCGAACGGGAGGGGCTGTTTTTGATGAATTCTTTCTTCAAGAAACAGCCCCAAAGGAAGTGGACGTGGCAAAGCCCCGACGCTATGACTAGAAATGAGATCGATTTCATCATGACGGATAGAAAGCACATATTCAGAGACGTCTCAGTGATCAATAGGTTTAATACCGGTAGTGATCACCGACTTATCCGGGGCTCTCTGAATATCAACTTTAAGGCGGAACGTGTCTGTTTGATGAAATCCAGGCTCCGACCAACTCGGCTCCAAGCCATGACAGGATCTGAAACGTTCCAGTCAAAACTGGAAAACCGATTCGCTGCCGTGGAAACCACAATCGACGTAAACCAGAACCTCAAAAATGTGGTTCAGATCCTCAGGGAAGAAGGTATGAGATTTTGTGAAATGCAGCGTAAGGGCAGGAAGTCGAAGCTTTCAGAAAGGACCCTAGGGCTGATGAAGAAACGACGTGAAAACCCACCTGTCACTTTGTTGGCAAAGCGGACTCTAAACCGAGAGATCAGTAAACTCGTACGACACGACCTCCAGTGCTCCAATACTCTTTCAATTGAAAGAGCGATCGAGCAAAATCGGGGGTCAAAAGTGTTCGTACAATCTCTTGGAAGAAGCCACCTGACAAAGTTGACTACAGAAAGTGGAGAAGTCGTTGCTTCGAAGCCGGCAGTCCTTTTGGAAGTGGAAAGCTTCTATGGCCGGTTATACGCTTCGCATGCATCTCGACCTGATCCCGAAAATGAGGACTCTAGAGCCACATTAACACGTCACTACACCGAAGACCTGCCAGAAGTTAGCATTGACGAAATCGAGATGGCTCTTGGACAGCTGAAAAATGGAAAAGCCCCTGGAGAGGATGGCGTTACAACAGAGCTGCTGAAGGCCGGGGGTAAACCCGTACTAAGGGAGCTCCAAAAGCTCTTCAACGCTGTCCTGTTTGAAGGGAGAACTCCAGAAGCGTGGAGTAGGAGTGTGGTCGTCTTGTTCTTCAAAAAGGGTGACAAGACCAGGTTGAAGAACTATTGACCCATATCCCTTCTAAGCCACGTCTACAAGCTGTTTTCGAGAGTCATCACGAACCGTCTTGCGCAAAGACTCGACGAATTCCAACCACCGGAGCAAGCTGGGTTTCGGAGCGGATATGGCACCATAGACCACATCCACACAGTGCGGCAGATTATACAGAAGACCGAAGAATATAATCAGCCCCTGTGTCTAGCATTCGTGGACTATGAGAAAGCCTTTGACTCGATCGAGATCTGGTCTGTTCTGGAGTCCCTGCAGCGTTGCCAAGTAGATTGGCGATACATCCAAGTGATGAGATGTCTCTACGAAGCCGCCACCATGTCCGTCCAAGTACAGAATCAGCAAACAAGGCCCGTACCATTGCATCGAGGAGTGAGACAAGGGGACGTTATTTCCCCGAAATTGTTCACAAATGCAATGGAGGACATGTTCAAGACGCTGCACTGGAAAGGGCGTGGCATCAATATCAATGGCGAATACATCTCTCACTTGCGATTTGCAGATGACATCGTCATCATGGCAGAGACGTTGCAGGACCTACAGCAAATGCTGAATGACTTAGCTGACACTTCTGTACGCATCGGCCTACGGATGAACTTGGATAAAACCAAGGTCATGTTCAACGAACATGTACTACCGGAACCGATTGCGGTACACGGTGCCGTTCTCGAAGTTGTTCAAAATTATGTGTACCTCGGGCAGACATTGCAGTTAGGTAGAAACAACTTCGAGGACGAGGTGAACAGAAGAATTCGGTTGGGTTGGGCAGCGTTTGGGAAGCTACGTCGAGTCTTCTCATCGTCGATCCCACAGTGCCTTAAGACGAAAGTCTTTAATGAGTGCGTCCTACCCGTCATGACATACGGAGCTGAAACGTGGACACTTACGGTACGGCTGGTCCACAAGTTCAAAGTCGCTCAACGTGCTATGGAAAGGGCTATGCTCGGCGTTTCTCTAAGGGATCGCATCAGAAATGAGGTGATCCGGCAGAGAACTAAGGTCACCGACATAGCGTACCGGATCAGCAAGCTGAAGTGGCAGTGGGCTGGCCATATTAGCCGCAGAACCGATAACCGTTGGGGAAAACGAGTTCTTGAGTGGAGACCACGTCTCGGCAAACGTAGTGTAGGACGCCCACAGGCCAGGTGGAGTGACGATTTGCGCAAGATGGCTGGCAGGAGCTGGATGCGAGAAGCCCAAAATCGATCTAAGTGGCGTGCAATGGGAGAGGCCTATGTCCAGCAGTGGACTGCGATAGGCTGATGATGAATGACCTACAATATCTTTAAGATTGAGTTGTGATTGGATTTTAACTGCAACTAATTGTTAGTATCTATGATATGTCATTATAAGTTTATTACCTAAGGCAAGACCTCAATACTAAATACAATCTGTCTGAACACATTAATTTGAAAAGCTAGATAACGGCAACATACCTACTAAATCCCATTTTTTTAATGTTGTAACGTTCAATAGTGGGACTGGGAAGGTTTTCTTGAGTATAAAATGTTAGAAAAACATCGAGATTACATCGATCTTAAAGATTTAATTTAAAATATCGATGTACATACCTATGAAAATTGTCTAGAGAAACCATAAATGTTTACAAACGCCGACGTTGTCCTTTGACAATATTGGTAATATTATAAGGGCCTTTTAACTATAGTAGTATCTACCTGCTGAGCTTTCAGAACATTATCTTCGTCAGTAAGAAGTTTACTGTTATTATTCCATATACATATATGGTTATGTTGATAATCTCAAAACTCAATCAGGTTAGTTACCTAAGTTTGTTTATACGTTATATTTTATAGCTTAGCATCCTAGAGCATTAATGCACCTCTTAAAAATACTGCTTAGGAAACAATGTATTCCATCGATTTCTCTCTCCTCAACTCTTAACATCGAATCTGTAAATATGTAGCCCTTCTTAACATTGCCCACATTTTATTAAAACAATAATAGTTGTTATGAAAGCTTTTTCGCTTAGAGTTTTATTTATTTATAACAGTGTCGTTGATCAGCCTTCAGATAAAATCATTAAAAAAGAAATCATTTAAGAAGTATAGCATTTTTACCATTAATTAATAAAAAATATATTTTTGGATACAATTCCTTCTGCTTAAATTTACCCTCAATTGCGACTATCTAGGCACCTGTTTATTAATTAACAGTGTTAACACGGCTTATCAGCAAACTATTGTTTCTGTTTAACTAAGTAGGTGCCCTTGATATCGTTCGATTGCAACGATTAACGTAGCCTTTATTTGAAACACGAAACCAGATCCCGAGATTAATTTGTCGAAATATCTGGTTGTCTAACTCGAGAACACATAGAGGCGATCGCCTTGAAATACTTTCAAACCACGTGAACTATGCGAAAACGTTTACCTAACAGAATCAACATTTAATTAACACTATAATATTGACAACCAAACTTACCCAATTCACTGTCGGTGAAAAAACGGTTTAATGACACACACTGAATAATTTTTTCACTCGGTAGTTGTTGTTTTAATTTATTATTTATGTTAACAGGTGGTTTGATGGGTTAATGGTTAACTGTAGCGCGCGGCGGTGTTCCTACAAATACGCACGTCGGCCGGTGTCGTTGCGCGACGCTGCAGATCGACTGGCGGACGATAGAGAACGAGACGCGGCGCTGCGCGCGCACCATGCGACCCTCAGATCCTCACTAGACGACCTTCGCGTATAGAACACACAGGGTGATATCCTATGTCCACTACATTAAATAATATATCTTTAAGAGCGCTTATCTCTTTTAAAGATGATTTTTATTTCTTGTTATATTTCGAGAATATCAGTTATAGAAAACCTTTGGTTTTTATAATTTACGTCTGTAAAATTAATTAAAAGAAAAAATAAATAAACGCTAAAAGGTATATAACATATATAACATCGAAAACAAACCAGTAAAAGTAGGCAGATAGATGTATGAAAAGGGTGATCGCGGACGTTGATATAATTCATATCATTCATATTGTAAAAAAGAAGAAAAACAATCGATCTAAGTGGCGTGCGATAGGCTAATGATGATATTGTATGAGCTTATCAAACCTATCTACTATAGCTATCTTTCTTGACAGTTTACCTATTTGTATAGATTTCTAATTTCAACTGTTTTGATACCTTGAGATCATCTAATTTCAACTGTTTTTAAATCTTGAGATCATCTAATTTCAACTGTTTTTATTTCTTCAGATAATCTAATTTCAACTGTTTTGATACCTTGAGATCAACTAATTTCAACTGTTTTGATTTCTTCAGATAATCTAATTTCAACTGTTTTGATACCTTGAGATCAACTAATTTCAACTGTTTTGATATCTTGAGATCATCTGATTTCAACTGTTTAGATATCTTAAGATCATCTAATTTCAACTGTTTTGAAATCTTGAGATCATCTAATTTCAGCTGTTTTGATATCTTGACTTATTTAATTGAAATAATAACTTGAACTACCTTGTTTTTGACGACCCTGTTGGTCTAGTGCAGGGATTCCGAAAGTGTTCCTGGTCCTGGGAAACCGATATCGTTTATATCGACCCCAAGGGGTCAATATGAACGAAAACTGACTTTGAGTGTCGACGAGGTCTAAAAATCGGCTCCTATTAATTAACACAAGTTCTTATTTGAAACTTTCAAAATACTCTATTAGTTGAGTTACGTGTACCAAGTTGTTATAAGAATGGCTAATATTTTAGTAGGAAGTATAATAGTTGTACTTTTTTTAAAGTCAACAAGTTGATACGCATGCAGTAATTTGGGTCAGAGGTATCGATTCCTTTAGAAAAGACGTCTCTTGCCCAAAATAGTTTAGGAATCCCTGGTCTGTTGGTTAGTGACCCTGACTGCTACGCCAAAAGGTCGTGGGCTGGATTCCCACCCAGGACAAATAACTGTCTGCTGGGCACGGTCATGTTCTGTGTCTGGATGTACTTTTTCTATAATATGTATATATTTAGAAATAGATATATAAGTATGTTTACCAGCAGTCTAGTTAACATAGTACCGGCTCCGCCTGTGCCGTGTGTGAAATGTGTGAAAATATTGTTATTACTGACATTGGTTCCATAACAGGTCACCCCTTTTTTTTGTATGTACGGAAATCCCCTCAATAATTTTATGTAGCTTATTAAAGTTTAAATTTTCAGTACATATTGTTGAAGAATTTTATCTTCCGCACTTCTACATGTAACAGTGTTCCAAATAAGATATGCTTTCGTGTGATATAGTACAAAGATATTTACATTAATATATACATTAATTAGAGAAATTTATAAAAACATTTAGGTAGACATTGCAAACGAGTACGTTATCAAAGTCCTGTTTTTTTTTCAAACTTAAACTCAAACTCAAACTTTCTTTATTTCATAAAATTTCCAAAATTGTTTGAAATCGTCTTCCATGTAGACTCTAAAGTCATAGATCAACACACACAAAAGCAACAATCTCTGTTTTGTCAAATAGTAACCAAATAAATTTAACAAAAATCAAACCCATACAAAACCTATGATATGCCAGTGCCGATCTACAACCGCCCGTTTCCAAGGGGTTGAGCCTTATGAGAAGAATGGCAAACAATTTGCTTGAATCTTTAATTTCTTTGGATTTGATTCAATGCGATCGCCCCGATTCTACTGTAAAACAGTCTATACGGATATGTACTTTTCACATTAGAATAAGGTCACCAGAAATCCACGAGGAAGTGGAAAGATTGATTTACGTAACTTTAAAGTCATATCGCTAAAGAAAGATAAAGGACGCAGAATGCGACTTATTGGTTTATAACCCTGAAACCAGGTGATATGTTTTTTAACAATTACTTTTTTTTTAAAACAGGTTGTAAAGGATATGTTATTGTGCGGAATATTAAATTCGTGTACTCCTTAATGTGGGTTGACTTGGTCAGATGGACAGCACTATTTCATTCTCACCGGAGTTAAAAGTAAAAGTAAAACTTAATTCGCAGCTGTCCGACGACCTTTCTTTTTGGTTTATAATAAATTATACGGTATAAATCAATAGGCGAATGAACACGTGTGATTGTTGGATGATTGAAAAAATTCTTGCTGTATTCGTCAAGAAAATGATTAATTACTACGCAATAATTTTCTAAATTCTTACAACCAAAACAACAAAAAAATCTTCAATTGCCTGTGTAATCATCACAGCCATCAAAAAGCACTGCGTGTGCTGCTCAGTCGCACCCTAGTCAGTTGGGTGAGAATTTTGACGAAATTCTACAAATGGGTCGTTCGTCGTTAAATTAGTTTTTTTTTGTCGGGCCTGTTGGTCTAGTGGTTAGTGACCCTGACCGCTACGCCAAATGGTCGTGGGTTCGATTCCCACCCAGGACAAATAATTGTGTGATGAGCACGATGATTTGTTCTGTGCCTGGGTGTAATTTATCTAAAATGTGTATATATTTAGAAATATATAAGTATGTTTATTATTATTTAGTATATAGAAATATATATGTATGAAAAATAAAGCAATCAATATCAATATCAAGAGAAAGCTGTTTGATGTAGCGATTCTGCCTTGTTTAACATACGGGTGTCAGAGTTGGTCATTAAGAAAATGTGAAGAGGACAAGCTAGCAATATGCCAACGTAAAATGGAAAGGAGCATGTTAGGGATACGATTACGGAACAGAATTACTAACCATGAAATTAGAAAAATGACCAAAATTACAGATGTTACAGCAAGAATAAGATTACTGAAATGGAATTGGGCGGGGCATATATGTCGGATGGCTAATGATAGATGGACGAAAAAGGTCACGGAGTGGATCCCTAGAAACGGGAAAAGATCACAAGGAAGACAAAGGAAACGTTGGGCAGATGTATTCCTAGAAAGACAAGGACCTACCTGGATGACCAAAGCCAGAGACAGGCAGTACTGGAAGGAAATGGGGGAGGCCTACGCCAAGGAGGCGACTACTACTTAGTCAAAATTTGTAAATAAAAATTTATAATAATATGGATAAAATAATATTAATTTATATACATGCATGCAATGTTACACATAGAATTAATGTTTAAAATGATTTGATACAGAATGAACTAATTTTTAAAAAATATTCTAAGGTTTTTAAAAATCAAATAAGATATATATTATTTATAGTGATGATGAAATATACCACTAAATGTTATTTATTATTTAGCACAATTAATTAATTATTTTCAATTCGTTACAATGTTATTTTTATTTCACCTACCACAATTAATTAATGATTATATTATTTATTGAAAGATTAGTTAATATTTAGCATCAATTTACTGGTTATTATCAAATTTACTGCAATGTTATTTAATATTTAGAATAAGCAAATTACTTTGTATGTACAATGCATTACTAATTAGATTCTCATCAAGTATTGTAAGATAATTTAGTAGTAGAATAAATGGCTTTTTTATTTATTTTATTTATTAAGTATGTTTATCAGCAGTCTGGTAACCATAGTACAGGATCTGCCTCGTTTGGAATCAGATCATTTTTCACAAAAACTCTTTAAATAAAGACAACCGTTACAATAACCTTAAAATTTAAGTATTATAATTAGTACTTTTTACAAAATGGTTGTGACGGTGTATATAAAAAGCATGACGGAGGTGTTTTACATACAGAAAGTGTGTCCCTCTGTGATTTCTTTTTACGAAACGCGCTCACAAAGTTATGATCACTCACTCATGACTCACTCAATCACTATTATGATTTATATAAATATTTTTTTACGTGTCTCCCCATGTGATTTTTGTTGCTTGTCACATATTTTATGAAATAAATAACGGTCGATAGTACTTTGACCTTGCTCGCTAGCCTGTCCATTCCTCCGTAAACCGTGGCGAACCAAGTCAGTCGCTCGAAGATTATCAAAGAAGGTGCGTTGTTTATTTGGCGACCGCTCTGTCACGTAAGTTACTACTTTGAAATGTTATTGTAATTTATGCTTCCTAACATTCATTCATTGTTTCCGATAAGTAATTCCTATGTACCATGTTTGATGAGCAATTTATAATTAGGTGAATTCTGAGAACTTCCATACCTCAGTCACGAGCACCTCTGTCACAAAAAAAAAGTGACGTAGTGGTATAACTCGTGACGGAGTAGTACTTTTGTATGGTATTTAAAGCCTTAGTTGATTTTTAACTGACTTCAAGAAACGAGGGTCTTTGGCCCTGTTGGCTGCATGTATTTTTCCGATTTTCTCAAATTCGATTTGATCGCAATTCTTTTTTCAATTTATATTTTTCAGGTAGGAGTTTTTCAGGTTTCAGGTATAAAACGTTGTCCTAGGTTAAAAGATGCCAGAGCTATAAACTACAACATAGGTGTGAGTCAGAGAAATTTCTATTGATCTCGGTTCAGTTTTTAAGAAAAGTTATCGTAATAGATAATTATTATTTTCCCTATTATTTCCCTAGGTTTATTGAAGAAGAAACTACTTTTGAAGAAAAAGTTTTGTTCATTTAAGGTGTTCCAACCATCAGGTGAACTGAAAAATGACATTATCTGCGACTAAAAGACAACGACGTTATCGTGAAAAAAGAAAACTAAACCCTGAAAAGTTGCAGAAGTTATAAGTAACGATTTAAGATAATATCCTGCTCGCAAAAACTTTGTTAAAGATATGACACCAAGAGAACACAGAAAAATTAAGAGACAATGGCAAATTAGAAATATGCGAAA